TTTATGTAATTTCTACAAATTTATGTAATTTCTAAAAATATATTCGCAGCTGTGTGTGTGTGTGTGACAATCCATTTAAATTACTCAAACCAATTTTTTTCTACAAAAAACTCGATTAGGTCATTCATGTCCTACGCATTTCTTTTCTTTGAAATACTAGGAACACCTGGTTAAATGATGGTCTCTATTCTTTCCTTTTTTTTTTAATACGCAGCTTTACAAATACTTTCTAAAGATGTTAAAGCATATGCAAGAATCATATTAATACTTTTTATAATTATAAAAGTGATGAAAATTAATTCGCGGGATATAAACGATCCATTATGTGCAGAAAATCGTAGTCAATTTTTATATCTAAGATCACTTTAAGTATAGTCTTAAAATGTTATAAACCGATCACAGAATCGTATTGACTCTTTAAAATATTACTTAAGACGGTTTTGAAATAAGAACCGACTATGAGAAACCGGTCTGTAAGAGTTAATTTATATTCTCCATTAATTTACTAATTTTAGATAATTAAAAATATATGTAATTTTAATTTTTTGACATTTAAGATATTCCTCTTTATTTAAAATTCTAGCAGTTACTGATATCGGCTGCATATTCTTTCCATGAGACCTCGCGATAAGGCGAAACGAAAAGCGGAGGCCTTGAGTCTTCTGATCGAATTGCGAAATTGGAGACGATCAACCGATCTCGTATGAGAATTAAAACGGGAGGGAAAAGAGAACAAGAATAAAAAATCGGAGAAAAGAGAAGGATTCGCGGGGAGGAAAGATGAAACGCCCGGGATGAAATCGCGGGCGCGAGATCAACACCGACTTGCATAATCGCAATGCGTCAGCCGACGACGTGCGATTGTGCAGCGAAGGCAATTCAATGGCGTTGCACCAATAAGGCAAGATACGTGCCCTGGATGCGACCAGAGGCGATCGCGAAAACGCACCTCGTCGGTTATGCATCGTCGAGAGGCGCGCCGAGAATCTGCGCGGCAGAAAAATAAAGCGACACAAAATCTGTTTTCCGCAGTGCCTTATATTCGCTTGCACTATGTGAGAACATATAAAGTTACTATATAAAATAAAAATATAAAAAAAAGAAAGAGATCTGAGAAAGGAATGAAAGAAAGAGAACAGAAAAGTAATAACGAAGAAATTTAGAAAAATTCTCGAACTTGGGGAAGAGGAAATAAAGGAGAAAATAAGAATTTAGATTTTAGATTAAAGAAAACAAGGAAAAATTGTAAACTAATGTTAAAACGTAATTATAAGTATGGATTTATAATGCGAGGAAAATTCGATCGATCGTGTGATCGAAGAAGAGATTACGTAAAAGTTAGTATAAGAACGATATGTAGCGACGATAAATTTTCTGAAAAAATCTACTTTAATTATTATTATTACTATCAAGCATTTATGTATGTCATATATGGAGAATATTTAATTTCATTTGACGTATGGCAGCAATATGTTAACCCTGCTGGTCTGTTTAAATTTAATATTATATCATTTGTATCAATATCATAAAAAAATTCTAAAAAATAAAAAATAAAAAATTTTCATAGAAAAAAAATCTTAAATTAACAGACGAAGTCATCGTAGATGTTAAAAAAACATTTTCAATAAAATATTTCAATATAATATTATCAGAAAATAAATTACATTTTGGATCAAATAGACCAACCGAATTAAATACACGCACACGCATATATAATTAATTATTATTTTATTAATTAATATTTAAAAACTAAATGCTTGTACCGTTAAGATTATTTCCGAGAGATTTATGTTAATTTCCAAATTATCTGCCAACTATCCTTTGCGAATGTTCTTAATCGTTTCAGTCACTTTCATTTTTTTTAAAAACCAATTTATTACCGTTTAAAAATATATCCTGCAAAAATGAGTAAAAGATATGGACCCCTTTTAATTAATCGCGACAAGTCAAGTTGATCAGCTTTCATATATAACAGCAACATTTATAAATCGCAATAATCAAACTGAGTGATAATTAATGGTGGGGTTAAATAAAATGTAATAAAAAAATATATAAAATGTTACAAAATGCAATAAAAAATTTAAAATAATTACTATTAGATCAAACCAAGTGACTGATCACTAAGCAGTTCGCTTCGTAGTGTTTTCTCGACGATCTGTTGAACTCACCGCAATTTCGGCACAAAGCAAAGAGAAATGTTTCCGTTTCTATTTTTCTTTTTTTTAAGAAAACAGAAAAGAATGCACTACTCGCGATAAACTCTCGCGACTCACCATTAATTCTCAAGAATTTCTTGTGAAAAATATTTACCAATTTCTTTTTCTCTTTCTCTCTCTCACAAAGGATGCGTCGTCGCGAACGGCCAAAGAACAACTCGTGCGAGCAACTTGCAGACTCGCGTTCACGCTCGTTCACGACCGACTTGTGGGCGTGCACAGTGTTCCCGGTGTGTTCGGGACAAATTAACGAGACACTCGCGGTATATGTTCGAGTTGTAACAACGTTCGCGATAATGTAGTACTCTCGTCAAAACATACTCCATATAAACACTTTTATAGCATAAGTAAATTAGCATCACGAAAACATTGACAATATAAATAAAAGTTTATTTATAATTTCATATATCATTTAAATTGTCCATTAATTTCCATTACACTGAGAAAAATGTTCTGATTGTATCAGCAAGAAAATAAACAAGACAAATTTTAATCATATAAATAAAAATTCTGATTATCATAATTGACTTTCTGGTTATCTCAACTAGAATATTTGATAAATTTAATTACATTTGATTTGTACCTTTCTGGTTAAATCTACGAGAATTCCGATTACAAATGCATAATTCAAAATGTATGAGGCAAATGGTAATAAATCTTTCCTTCGTGTACTTATGATAAAATAATCACGAAAAGATATTTTTGGCAAATTCTTTTTATAGGATTCTTCCTATTTGTTGGTGTTTTATGAATTAAAATCGGAATTAAAAGGAATATGAAAAGGGAGATGTTGAGTTGAAGCTGTTTTTCGGCCAAAATGAAAAGTTCCGAGATATACAAATTACATAATAAAAAGCTACTTCGTTTAAATTACTCTTTAATATGATGTATAATCTGTACATCTTGGAACTTTTTTACTTTGATCGAAGAATAGCAAAAACTTAACATTCTTCTTTTTGAGATACTCTGTTATTATCTTATATAGGTAAGAAACAAAGTGTTATAAAGAACAGGTATATACATTTATCTCTATATATACATTTATTAATACATGATCTATTTTTCTACTTAACACGAGATATTATTAGATACTTCCTTTTAGATCTCTTATCAATGTCAGATATCTATATATATCATACCCATTTAATATATTATAAAAATGAATAATAAATACGATATATGATTATAGCAACATAAAAATATATTATATATGCAATAAAAAAGAACGGTACACAATTTTGTTAAAAACTCACTGGTCGTTGGTCTCATTGGAGAAGGTGGAATCGCTGGTCTAGGAGGCATGGTGGAGCAAGGGCGTCCAATCTTTGATGGCGGTCTTAGTCCTGATGGTTTAGGCTCCGTCATGCTCTATATATTCACTATGTTACACTGCACTGCAACAAAAATATTATGCATTGTTAGTAAAAAATGATACATTTAAAAAATCCTAAAAAATATCAAATAAGAAATTAATTTGATAAAAATAGAGGTATGAACGAAAAAAGAGATGACATCAGGAATATATGGGATGTAAATAAATTAATTTCTTTTACTAGTACTTTATTCGGCATATTCTTACAATCAACTACATTTTGGAATAAAAAATACTACTACAATAATCTTCAAGTTAGAGTAAAATCGAACTTGGATAAATTTTGACAAGAAGGAAAATTTGAAGCATTGATTATGGTTATTTTCTTTTTAAGAAACAAAATGTTCTATTTTTTTTTTATTCATTAATGGAGAAGAATAGAACAACGATGTCGACTGTATCTTCTAAAAGATAAACAGCCTAAATTAAATGCCTGAGTTTTGCGAAGTAAATCAATCCAAAAATTTATGATTTTTCAAACTGAGATCATGTCATCGCCAATTTGTCACGTTCCCTTGAACAAAATTGCAAAAGTTGCGCGAGCGATCGCAAGTACTCACAAATACATGCTAGTATTCGCAAATATACGCGAATAACAATACTGTCAGATCGACGAGTGACAACAACGCGTACCTTCTTCAGGAGTGAAAGGAACAGTTTGACGAGCGAGAGTTAACCTCAAAAGCGCGCGAGGAATTCGCATCCGTGCACAGAACGCAAAATATGAAAATCGCGGTCTTACCTGAACGAAATGCTGTTCGGGCTGATCCGCGAGGTCGATAGCTAACACATTTTATGTACGACAATCGCAGGAACCGCAATATACAGGAGCAACGTGAAAATCACCGTACCACACTTTCAGAAAAAAGAATGACAACTACACCACCGTTACCATCCGCAGTTGCAGTCAGGCTCGCCAACTTCTTGCAGTGCGAAATTTATGCTTTGAAATAAAATCTGATTCCACCGAAAGTTTCTTCCGTCGTTATTTGTCATCATTTATCATAATATTTATATAACCTATTATTATAATATTGTTAATTTATCATATCTCTGTTAATTTTTTGTTATTTAAATTGCGATATCTTGGCATTTTTTCCTTTTGACGTCAGCATTCCGCGTTCTAGGTAATAACCGGATTTAACGTTTTAGTAACATCCTAGTTACGAATTTGAATGTATTTTTTATGTCTAATTCCCATTGGGCTGCGTTCAGAAATTACGCTCTAGGGTACATTTTTGCTATAACATACGTGACGTAACCTATAGCTTAGAATTATCTGTACGTAATTTCTGAACGCACCCTGTGTTCTTTCAATTGGTTCATTTTCAGGTTAAGTTAGGTTCGAGCTGAATTGGCGCCAACGCCGCCAACTGCTAATTCATGTTTACATTACATCGGATCGGATTGACTATTGATGTCTGATACAATTTCATTCCAAAGTGCTTTTTGACTAAATCCAAATTAGTTGTCCTTTATAATATTAAGAATCTGTGAACGCCTGCAATTCAGTGAGACGATGGTTAGACGAAAAGTTACTCCAAGGTCTTATTTCTGCTTGCGATGTCTACTTGCTTTTCTCGTTTATCACAATTATTTATCACATTTATTTTACGTATTGATATAATAATCATTAGTCGTGTAATAAACTATGTCTCTTCCTATGTCTCACTAATCCTGTCATTTATATACATATTTTTGTGTGCATTTATGTAATAATAATTTAGAGTAATCTTTTATTATTTATTAATTAGTATTTTTATTATATCATTTTTTTTATATCTAAGATCATATTTTTTAATGAAATATCTATATATATTTATATAGCGTATAAATAATATATTTCAGTCCATCAAACAAGTCTTCGAAGAAAAGAGCAAATAAAGACAATGTAAGTGGATGCTTTTCATTTAGTGACACAAGTTGACATAAGTATCGTTCTGTCCGGTTCTATCTTTGCAAAGAGATAGAACATTTGTGTGAATTTATGTTACTAAATGAAAGACACTTAATGATATATTAGATTAAATCTTATATAAGTTGAATGCGTTAAATTTTTTAGTGAAATAAATTATGTTATATATATTTATATATACATGCTACAATAAGTACATTAAATTAATTATTGTTCTATATTGTTGAATAATTGTTCTCAGACAACTATAATAGTGAGTAAACATAAACGGAAGAGCCATGTGCTGCAGGAAATTAAACATCTAAGGAGAACCACACACTTTCTCTTACCTAAACTACCTTTTGCACGTATAGTCAGAGAAATTATCGTCGACATATTTCCCAGAGAGGATATTACCAGGTAAATATATAACACTAATATAATTTATAAACTATAAATTTTTCATCAATTATATGGTACTATTTGATTATATATTCATTTTTATGATTGTATGATTTAATTAATTAAGAAGAGAGCAATTTTATTTTACATGTGCTGTAGAATGTTTTATATATAAAAAAGTCATAATCAGTATTTTATTATATACATACAGTAAAATTTTCATGAAATATATTATGCTCTCTTTTTTTTAATTATTTTCATATAACATGCTATATTATATTTTAATTTATAACATACTATATATTTATATATATTTAAAGTTATTAGACTTTTATATATAATAAAAAAAATTACGGAAACAAATATGAGTCTCGATGGGAGATTCTTATAGCTTGATTATTACAGCATTCAACAAAATTAAATAATTAACTTGTAGGATACAAGCCACTGCTCTTGAAGCTCTGCAAGAAGCGACTGAAATGTATCTTGTGCAATTCTTTGAAGATGCAGTATTGCTGGCATTACATGCTAAACGGGTCACTCTTATGCGAAACGATATGATTTTAATGCGCAGGCTGAGAGGCCGCAGTGATATCATCAATAGATAAGAATTTTACTTTATATAATTTTAGATAGTCCAATGTTTCAAGTACTTTACAATGTATTAAGATAAAACGAATTCTTTTCCATTGAATAAGTTTTTTTCTGAATAAGAGATAATATTTTTTGCTTTTTTATATAATACAGATTTGTATTAACGAAAATAAATAGGATAAGACGGGGCCTATTTCGTCAATTTCAAGTAATATGATTTATAATGGTAAACAATATCTCTTTATAGTGACGTGCTTATAATTATATTATATAATTATGATTGCTCCTTAAGAGCACAACTTTTAAATATTCAATATACTGTTCAGAAACATAAACATTATGCAAGAAATGGAGAAAGCCTCGTTCTATCATATAGAATTGTACAAAATTATGACGATGTCTCTTTATGGTTTGAAATCTCGATTTATATATAATTACGCTTAATTTATATTGGGCATTTTTAATATTAGACATATATAAAAAATATTACTTTTTACTTAACTCAGAGACACACGACAAGATAATAATTTTATATTTTTTAAAATCAAAATCTAAACGTTATTGAAATAAACAAAATTGTAAGACTCGTAAATTACTGATTTGACAGACAAATATTTGTTAATTAGTAAATTTTGTTACGTGTGTTGATTTGATAAATATTGCGAAGTAACTAAATCAAAGATGTCTTTATTATAAATTTTATAAATAAAATGTTTAATATTTTTTTAATAAAAAAAATAGACAGAAAATAAATCTAATTTTTTTCATCTTTTTTTCTTAGTACTGAAAAGGGACTGAAGAGAGATAAGCGATTTTGTCTCGCTAAATAAAATTTATTTCTAAGAAATATTCAAACATTTCAATAAAATCCGTAACTTTATGAAACTTTGGTAAAATATACAGTTTTGCAATAATCAGGCGAATTTCTTAAACTACGAATATCGAAGCGTTGCCGTTTCGACTTTCGGCGAGAGTGTATAGGCGATTGGTATGATAAAAATAGTGTTAAATAATAAAATATTGCGCGATCTGGAAAACAGTCACGCTATGTATCGAATGTTCGATTTGTATCTTTCCACACACACGCGCGCGCGCGCGTGCACACACACACACACACACACACACACACGACGATATTCCCTATTAAAAGTTTATAAGGACATATAGTTATTTTTTCCCGATAAAAACACACGAATAGTTTAGGATTTTATAGTAGAAAAGATAGAAATCTTGTAAAATATTCTTGGACTAATTTTGGAAGGATTTCATCTCGATGGAAACTTGACTTGAGATATAATTATCAAGATATTTAAGAGATATACTCTGAGATTCTACCTATAAAAAAGTACGTTGCGTTTGAATATTAAAGGAAAAGTTAGTTTTTTCTAGCTTTAATATAATATTGACATTCAAAGAGGAATATCGCCGAACCGCGCGTACCGAACACTCCATATAATCGTGTATAACTGTGTATAATGTGTTTTCGGTGTTAGCTGCAATAAGAACAACCACAATTCGTGACCACGCAAGTCACATGCGTCTTCTTAAACGCGGTCTAAGAGAAAAGAACTGCCTAGAAAAATAGTATTACAAATATCGACTTAGCCGCCTTAATTTCTTATTCGTTTCTACATATATAATATACATATATAATTCATACAATTTAACGAGAGAAAATACAATACAAAAAGGCACCTGGAAAAGCAGGCGTAAACATACGTTGCCAAGTTAAGATCTCGAGGCTTCTATGAAGACACTTGTGTCGCATCTTTAGGCACATTTCGCTATACATATACTTTCATGCTACCTGTCATTGTACACAAAACGGATCACAAAGTTCGAATTACGTTTTCGTATCGCAAAATTAAATACACGAAATTCAGGAATCACCGATTGCTGAATATTTTCATAAGCAATAGTTCCAAAAACTTTCACAAATAATGTATAAAAGACATTTAAATTGTTTGCTCAACCAAATTTTTTCTAAATATTTTTTAAATGCGTCCTTTTGGTCTTTAAGACTATGATTATTCGATGCTCATAAAAATATTTAATACATCTTGATCACTGAAACTTTTTTATACAATTGAATAAATGTTTTCTAATCTCACTATCGGGACGTTTACAATTTTTTTCCTGATTCTTTTGAAAACTTTCAAATACTTTTAAGATTAAAATTTTTCATCAGAATATCGTAATTATTCAGTTATCTGTCACAGCATTTTAGATTTGGACTTATTGGGGTTCGCGCGCGCGCGCTTTACTTCGATCAATTTGCGGAATTAAATAACAAGAAGTCTTATTGTTTCACTTTTTCATGAACGACCGCACCTTATTCACACATTTGTCCATGAAGTTTCGTTTGCGTTTAGGTTCTGCACCCGCCGGTAGCGATAATAGTGAACCCGGTCCCTTTGCGTGATGAGCTCTGTGCCCACCGTATTCGCTTGACGAAATGCTCCCGTCAGAGTCTAATCCCGCACCACAGCTTCTTGATGCCTTAAGCAGCATCGTCGATTTGTCGTCATTGTCATAGTCATCATTTTCGTTGTCACTCTGTATCTTCAATCTTTCCTGCGCTATCTTTTTGATCCTCTGTTCTTCAATTGGATGCTCCTGTTTCGCGCATTGTCTGTTGGAACATGTCAAGGACTGTCCTTCCGAGTTGGAACGTCGGCTTGGCTTCGGAGGACGTATCGGTAGAGCTTCCTTGTCATTCTTATTCAAAGACATTCGCTTGTCCTCCGTCTCGGATTTGAACTCGTTGGGTACTTTCGATTTTATCCTGCAAATCGGCCTGAGTTCATCCTTGGATTCAACAGTCTCGATATTAGGCTCTTTCTGACTTTCTTCTGAAGCAGGTACAATTTTATTTTCTTCCGAACTCATCGAAAGGCATTCTCGATTCTTCTCGCACTGCTCTTTGCTCTGCTCTTCACCGTTCTTCACATCTTCATCCAGCAAACCGTCCAGACTGCGTGATCTTGGCCTAGGAAGTGGTGGTCGTTGGATGATCGTGGAAGAGACTGACTTCTGCTCCTGATTCTGTTGATCCAGCAGCTCCAGCGAACGAGATCGCGTTGATGGTAAGGGTGGCTGCCGTGGTGGCCTGCGAGGTACTGCCTGGTTGTTGCTGGCACCCACTGGATGCGTGTACATGAACTTGAAGCGCGGCGACGTGGGTGGCAGGCCCATCAACCAACGGGATGGACTCGACGACTTTCTAAGTCTACAACACGAAAATAGAACTTATTGCAAAATCATGATTCAGCGAGAAATATGTTTCTCGTTTGCTTTCTTCGGTGTTAGATAAAACAATTCATAGTCTCATTTCTTTTAAATATCTTTCATATATCTTCAATCAAAATATTAAAAATAATTTTTAGAAAATAATGTTTAGAAATTTTAGAAATAAATATTAATTTTCAATTTGCATTGACTCGTTATAGAATCTATTATATTATGTATATCATACCATTCTCGATAAATCAAGATGATGCTGCTTAAGGCATCAAGAAGAATGATGTGAGAAATTTAATATTTTCATTTTATATTCCTACATTTCTAATATTGTGAATTTATCTCAAATTTTCTTATATCAAACACCGAAGAATTATATCATGCAAAATTATATCATGCAGTTTCACCATTAGATCAATAAATATAAAATAAATAATATAAATACTATGTATGTAAACATTGACGTCTATGTGTAAAAAATAAAATTCCTGTATTTGCTAGTATATATATTTTTTTAATTTTCGTAAAAAATCAATTATAGAATCATCAATAAAATTTGTTATTAAGATTAAAAATTAAACGTAAAATCTTTATGTAATTATTTTGATTAACTTTTAGCAATGTATTATCTATTAGTTGAGAGATATTTAATTAATAATAAATAAATAATTTTTTTTATTCTACATATAGACTGTGTAAACATCTCTGACACTCAAGTAGATAAAAATTTTTCTAAACCTTCACCTTAAATTATACGTCTACATCACAGACATATATATACGTGTAACATGGAACTGAAAAAGTGCAACGATATCAAAAGTACTAGGGATTGATTTAGCACAAGGGTTTAGCAAAAGCGATAGGATAGTGATATATTTTGTCGTTTAAACATTGATAAAGAATTCGTATCGCTGACTGACCTAGTCGTGATTGTCATAGAGCGATTCACAATCTTGGCTGCGTGAAAACAAAAATTAGCATTGCGTTAGTAGAGCTCAAAATCGCATTGTAAATCGATTCGTTAGCGACCAGTGTAATCTGCTAACTTTAGTAATTTGGATCATTAAAGATATTTATTATTATCTGAAATCATCGCTTAGTTCCCTTTTGGATATTTTTAAGAATTCTAAACTATTAAAAGATTTTCGGTCTATGACGATAAATCTAGTTTGTTATTTATTATTATAAATTTTCCTTGTTTAAATTGTAATAATTTTATTAAAATTATTTTTAATAAAATTATTCCAAATTATTGAACTCTTTTTATTCGTAATAATTGATTTAACATCAGACTATCAATATGTAGGTCGAGACTGAGTTCTTGGTATTGGGGTGTTAATGGATTCTACAAATTTTAGATTTTTTTCCTGGACAATGACGAATCGATTCGCTTAACTCAACGTTAGGATTATATGCTAAATTAACAGGGATAACTACCTGCTCGATATGGCTGTGGGCGGGCCATCTAGTCAATCTCGCCCGCCTGTGGAATCCTTGTCGCTGCCCCTGCTTTCGTTGCTGTGCATTCGTTGATAGTTCGGCGGCTGTCGCATATTCGCATTAGCCGGTGTGCTCGGTTGGGTCACGTCCTTGGGAGCCATGCTGCGCGGAATTCCGCTGGACAGATCAGATCTCATAGGTATCTCACCTCGCATAAACCTGCCCAATGATGAAAAACAAACATCAAAAAGTTATCTTAATACTTATCATATATACATCTTTATATGTATATATTTGTATTATATTATTTTGTCAAAGTAAAATAATTAAATAATTAATGAAATTATTATAACGATTATTTTGTGGTACAATAGACATAATTCTCTTATTTAAAATAAAATTATCTTAGAAAGCGATTGGTAAATAATTTCAGCTATAACTTGTTCTAGAGAAATGAAATTGTCTTCTTCATTCTGATCAAAGTCATTTCCTCTTAACAAAAAAAAAAAAGAAATGTAAAAAAGAAACTAATTACTTTACCTTTCTAATTTGTCTACGCAGGCGTCTTGATAGTCATGAATCCAACGAACACCATTAAAATGACAAACTGCGCGCATGTCTTCAGGAAGTTCTTCAGGTTCCGGCCATTGAAAATTGTCAATGATCGGGATTATGTTGCATTGTGACTGCAGTGCGGCAACAATTTCCTATGAGATAATCAAAAATAAATTGA